GGGGAGGGGGTGGTAGGGAATTGGAAGCTTTAAGTGCTGCCAGGCTTTAGGGCAAACAAATGGGACCTGTACTAGGACTAGCCCTACTCCTTTCTGACCTCAACTGCATGCCAGGCAGGTCCCTGTGAAAGAACAGAACTTCCTCTCTGTCCAAGCTCATGGGTTCCCTTGCAAGAGAGGAGAACTCTGTGGTCATACCTGCCAAAGCCAGGGACTACCTGCCACTCCATCCAACCTCCCTCTACCTGGAAACCTCTATGATGGAAGGATTTTCTTCTTGCAAATGCCTATGTCTCTCCGGCCTCAGACCCCAGAACCCTTTCTTCCTACATCACATGATGCCCATTGCTGGGGGTGTGTGTGCACCCAACCTAAGTTCCTTAGGGACAAGGACTATGTCTTCTAGAACTTTGTGTCCTCCCAAATGACCAGCCTGTGGAATGGAGAGCACATTCTCCTAAACTGCAATAAGAACCACCAGATTGCAACTGCAAGCATTTGAAGGGAAAGACAAAGCCAATCACAGATTCACTTCAAGTAAACAGTGGCGCTCTTTAAATGTAGTGTCCTTAGAATCACAGAACAGAACGTAGTGGTCCTTCCGGACCATCCAGTTCAATACCCTTGCAGACACTATCTCAATTACAGCTGTGCCTTTAAAAGGGTTTTAGGGGCAACTGGCAATGCACACAGTGATTCAAGAACTGAATTCAAGGAATACCCGGGTTTTAATTCTTCCTCACCAGGTTGGCTGCGTGACCTCTCTCAAGACTTCCTTTCTGTCTCTGTCAACTCCGGATGAGAATCATGTCTACCTCGCAGGGTTGTGAAAACTGAACGAGAACTTGCATGTAAAGTATTTGGCACAGTGACAGGCACAAGCTAAATGTGCAATACAAAGATGCTTTGAAAATGCAATCCGATGAATACTAATGATGACGCAGTTCACTATCCCTCTAGCCTCTTCTGATTTAATTCATGGAGCGTGGGGGACACAGGCACGACTCCACTCCTGATTTCAAAGGTAAGGATGTTTGTTTATGGGGCAAGATCGTTCTAGATGATTAGTGGCACTTTCCTCAGGCACATACCCTTCTTCAAAATGAGGTGTTTAATTAATCCATATATTTTAATATCTCTTGTGAGAAGAGTCATCACTTCACTATGCCAATAAATGAGATTGCCACAGAGGAGCTGAAAGTTAAACAAACAAACAAAAAAAGGCAGCTGGAGATGATCATGGTCCCTTCCAGATCAGGGCAAGGGCCTTTAAGTAAGAGCTGTCACAAATGAAACACAAAAGAATCCAAATAGAAAGATGCCCCTTGGACATTCTCCTTCTCTTTGAACACCTCCCACTTCTCTAACGAGGTCTTTAAGAATTGTGTTCAAAACCCCACCACCCTAAGAAAATTCAGATGTGAAAAGTAACTTGGTTGCAACATAGACAACCTTCCAGAAAAGTACTCATGGCAACTAAATTAGCAGCAACTATCCATGCTGGGGGTGCTGGTGGGCTCATTAGCCTGCAGTACTTATTCCCTCCCCTTTTTCTCTCTTTATAAACAGAGCCCAATGTGCAAGGGAAACAGCTCAACATAAGGCCAGGTGCCTTTTTGGGAACTATTTTACCTAAATACATCTTCAAAACT